AGCTTGTTCTGCCTTTCATTATGATCATAGCTACCTTGAGCTTCACACCCACGTTCCCATTCTTTCCCCATTCTACTTGATGCTCTGAGAGACCAAAAATCTGTCTATCTTAGTTATAAATAATGTTGCTCTCAGAAAAAGCACAATGCTCTTCGATAAAGAATCAAATGATTCACCATGCTTTAAGTAAAAGAAATTGTTCTCATGCCAGTCCTAAAAGATTGGCACCTTATCTTGAAACTTTGCCACTTGTTTGAGATTCCCAACCAGAGCTAACAATTTTTCTGTATCTACCTGTAAGCTCCATTAAATGTTTCAATGAGATCATCTCTCATTCTTCTAAGCTCCAAAGAACATAAATCCAATTTACTCAGCAACCTCGTCATCCCAGGGACCAATCTAATGAACTTTAATTGTATTACCTCCAAAGCAAGTGTAGCCTTGCTTAAAATGGACAGCAAAATTGCACACCATATTCTAACTGTAGCTTCACCAAAGTCCTGCATAATTGTAGGAAAAATTATTTATTCTTATACTCCAACAATCTTGCAATAAAGGCCAATACCCATTTATTTTTTAACCACTGCGGTGTCTACATGCTAACTTTTTGTGATCCTTGATTGACTACTCCAAGTCTCTCTAAATGTCTGGAGAAACAGATATCTGATCATTTGTTGTTACAGTTCCCAGATGAATACTTCTCATTATGAATACTTGGCTAAGCTCTAAGAACTGCTAACAGATTTGGTCAGCAGGATTGAACGTAATCAGGCTGAAGTAGATAGCTATTGTTATGAGGTTATAATAAGCAATTTTTGTTTGATTTTTTTCAATGTCAGTATGTTTGTTTGGACAAGGTTGAAAGGTACGAAGTAGTGTAAGGCTTCTGTTTGCAAATTATGAATGGCAGTGTCTGATTGACAGCTTTATAAAGTTGTAAAGACAGCAGTTTCTTTTTTTAAGCAGAATTCTGAATGATATTCCCTTTTCATGAATAGTATTTCAATACTTTCAATTTCCATACTTTCCACTAATTTTACTTGGTTTATTAGTTCTGTACATAGTGCAGAATGGGTAAGTGGAAAAGAAAGGGATACTGTGTATAAGGGGCAAAACAGTACCATGGGTGCACAGAGAAAGTATGGGTAAGACCATTTACTGATATATTACAAAAGATTTCCAAATCTAGATTCTGGTTCATGGCTTCTTTAAGAGGCCAGAAGCCACGAATCCTCAAGAAGCTAACCCAATCGTATGAATAATGCTGAACAGTATGAGATGCCCAACCCTGCAAATGATTGGCACTGGTGAGTTCGGGAATGCAGGATGCAGCTTGTTGCACAGATGCTTATCATTCATCGACTCAACTTGTCAGTGCTAGGAATAGATCTGGAATCCCAGAATCACCATTTTAAAGGTTTTCGGAGTTGGCTTGACTCCACAAAACTCCAGCATATTAACTCAATTTTGTATCTTGATATCATTTACACTTACTTGTAGATTCCAAGCCCACAAATCAACTAGCAGTCTGCAAAAACATTATAAACTGAATTTATTTTTGCACTTTCTCTCGTTGAGGTCACAGATGGGTGAAAAATTAGGCATGTTGTAAATTCAGTGTTACTCATCAGTAGAGAATCATGTTCTGGAGGCTTACACTGGCTTCTCTAAATTTGTAGTATAGGGCTATTGGTTAGTTTTTCCAAATATCATACTCATTTTTCTCCACTGGAATTTTGAAATATGTTTGTAAATTATTATGGATGCTACAATGAAAAAAATGTTACACACGCAATGGAGTTTACATTAAACACTGTCAATGAGGGAAAAGGTTTCACATTGTCATGAAAACAGGAGAATCAAACAAAGTATGCATACATCCTTGTCACATCTTTGATCAAAGATTTGGAATGAGAATTACTACAGCATGGGAAGATAGAAAAATAGACTGACCATGTACAATAAGGTATGGAATGGATGAAGGCTCTGTACCACATGAATGGAGGGAGTGCACCATATGTTCACTAGAGGAGTAGGAGAGATGACAGGACTGCCCTATGAGAAGAGATTGGTTCAACTGGAGTTGAGAAGGATGAGAGGAGATCTGATTGAAGCATATAAAAATCTAACACGCTGAGCAGGTGAGATCCAGGGATATTTTCCCTGCTAAGAGAGCCTAGAGCCAGGGAATACTGTTTCAGGATACAGGATGAGAAAAAAATTCTTCATTTAAAATGTTATGAAGCTGAGGAATTTTATACCACAGAAAGCTGAGTAGGTCAAATCACAGATTATATTCAGAATAGGGATAGATAATTTTATAGACTTTAAAGGCAACAAGGAGTACGCAGAAATATGACATTTCAGTATTTCAGCATTCCTGCATTTGCATTGAGACAAACGATCAGCCATGATCATATTGAATGACAGAGCAGGCTCAAAGGGCCAAATGGCCTACTCCTGCTGCCAGTGTCTACGTTTCTATGATCAGTGGGAGTTGACAGAAACAGGTACCTCGTATTCTCTGGCATGCCAAATTTCAAGGTAACCATCCAAACAAACTACAAAGACAGCAGTTTCTTTTTTTAAGCAGAATTCTGAATGATATTCCCTTTTCATGAATAATATTTCAATACTTTCAATTTCCATACTTTCCACTAAATTTACTTGGTTTATTAGTTCTGTACAAAAGAACTGCGGATGCTGTAAATCAGGATCAAAAACAAAGTTGCTGGAAAAGCTCAGCACGTCTGGCAGCATCTGTGGAGGAGAAAACAAGAGTTAACATTTCGGGTCCGGAGACCCTTCCACAAACTACAAAGACCGTTTGTTTCCAGGATACCGTGTCAACAATATTTCTTCCTGTCGACAATCCTACCATGAAACAAACTGCCAAAGCAATAGTCACAAACGCAGCACTTTGACTGATAATGACGTATCTCGACATTATTTCAATTTTTCCGCGGATTATGCCCGGTTTAGTTAATGCTGTCCTGGATAAATGTTGATGGAATACAGATGATAGTTTGGGATGCCAACACAACTGATGCAGAAGCAGATCACTTGACATCCCACAGTAACTTTCTGGGAATTAATTGGAAATGCTCCACAATTTCTGTTTCCAGCATCATTTCATTTCTCAATCTTGGAACAGTTGCTTGTTTGGCTCTTATGGGAAAATAAGTCTGGAATTGACCTCAATTGTTGCATATTCAGCTCATTAAAAATATCAATCATTGCTTTCACTAAAATTAGGGTACTGTTTAAAGGTACAGTCTTTCAGGAAAAGCATGGTAGGTATTTTATCATTTGTTTTCAGACAGTATGAAAACACGTATCAATTGAAAACATGTAACCACCTCCTCATAGGTATTTAGCCAGCAATATTTACTATCTAGACTGAAATATAAAAGCTAAACACTTGAGTGAGGTATTAAAAGCAACCACGGTACCATGCTCCAACAAGAAAAGAGAAATGAGAAAAATATAATTACCACAAAAATTGTGTTTTTTTTCTCCTTGAACTAACATAGTCTTTCTCACCATTTCATAGCAAAAGTCCTTTAATATTTGCATACTTTCAATTCCAGGTAGTGAAGACATTGCCCTCTAGGCCTCCATGATTCCAGAGGTGTCAGAGAACCATTCAGCAACTTTTGAGAATGTTCTCCCTTGGTACTTTTCCCACAGTAACAAAAATGCTTGTAGCATAGAATGAGATACTTTGGGCTGTCATGTATGTTCCATAAATGACTAGATTATTATATAACTGATTTCACTGCTCTGTTGTCTCTCCATAGGCTACTTCAAAATAATTAGCTATTTGCCTTAAAGAATTTATCCATTTCTGATACAACTATTTCTTATGCTGACAGAAGTTTTGGAAGAACTGATTAAAATAGAGGATAGGGAAATGTCAATGTACATTCTTTATACAGATTTCCAGAAACCATTCAATCAAGTCCATCATAAACGACTCCTGGCTAAAGTTAAAGCCCATGGAATTGAAAGTAAATTATTGACCTAGTTAGGAAATTGGCTAAGTGGCAAGGACACGGCAAATGAGATAATGGGCAGGTACTTTAATTGACAGAATATGACTAGTGGAATCCCACAGGAATCTGTTTTGGGGCCTTGACTGTTCACTGTATTTATTCATGACTTGAATGATCTGATAAAGAGCTGCATTTCCAAGTTTGCAGCTGATACTAAGCTTGGCATCATTGTAAGCAAAGTAGAAGAAAGCAGAGCATTACAAAGCAATATTCATACATGAAATGAATGGGTTAAACTGTTGCAAATGAAGTCATCTATGTTGGACCTAAAATAATAGAGCAGAGTACTTTGAAAATGGCAAAGAAAGTGAGAAACTGTGGTAGTCAAAGAAACTTGGATGCGCAGATTAATAGGTTATTAAAATATTGTGAGTGGATATAAAATATAGCCCAAAGCCATGCTGGCCTTCAAAGAGGTCTTTGAAAACACAAGGTGCGAGTTATGCTTCAGCTACACATCGCCATTGTTAGATCACACCTGAGGTGTTGTGCTTAGGAAGGATACATTAACCATGCATCAAGTGCTGTGTAGATTTACCAAAATGATACCTGGACTCCAAGGGTTAAATTTGAAGGAATGATAACTCTAAACATCGTTTTATTCCCTGGTATCTAAAAGGTTTGGAGGCGATTTTATTGCAGTCTAAATATCACCTAGAACTGATAGGAAATTTGTTTGCATTGGCCAGAGTCCAGGACCTGGGTTAACAACCTGTTCCCAGGTGAGGTTCCCCAATATGTTACAGTTCTTGCAGAATATCTCAAATTATTAAGCTCCTGCTGAAGAGGAATACTCATGCTCCTCTTCCTTACTCACTATACCATCTGGCCCATTTTGGTTACTGATAAGAAGCAAGGTTTAAAAAGGATCCCTTCCTTTCTGAATACTTTTCTCCAAGACCAAATGAATTTATGTTTTAAGATGAGGCATATTAGCCAGGTTCATGCATTAATAAAAGAGTGAATTTATTTGTTACTAATCAGGAAAATAAAAACAAAACTAACATACACAAAGATTAGCAATAAAAAAAGTTCAAAACAGAGGTAAAAGTTTAAAAAAAGATACATGGACAAGTTTCTTGAGTTGTTTGTGAAGAATCGATAGTAGAATGTTACCTGGTAGCCGTGATGTTGGCAGGTGAACAATCATTTTCAGGAGTTTTGGCATTGCACATTGATTGAAATTATTCTTCTCTGGCTCCTTTCAACAGTGGCTGGTTAGTAATATTGAGTGAGAAAGTACTTTCATTTCTTTAGCTGAAGTGCAGAAATATTTAATAGCTATTCTCAACAAGGTGACCTTCACAGCATACTAATCAACCCGCTAGGATGTCAGGTCACTAACACATTCAGACCAAGATTGAAGATCACATTTAACCCTGCTTTCTGTATATCCCTGGAAATGCAAAACACAAACATGTCTGCAGAAGATGGTCTCCCGCAGAGAGGGAGTTAAACAGTCAGCCTCTCATTATCTCTTCCTTTTTAGTCTCTCTATTTGCAGTTTTCCTGATTCTATTGTGGGTGTGACATTCCAGAATTCATCTCCAGACAGTCTGAATTTATATCTGCAGTCATCTTTTGGCTGTGCCTCTGTTTTTAAAAAAAACACATGTTGCAATTAAAAGTTTTGCATATTCACATGGGATCCTAGATTATGATGCATGGTCATGACATGAGTCAAGTTAGTAAACAGTACACATGTAAAACATGATAGATATTCGGAACACTCTCCACAAATGGCAATTGCCCTTAATTCAGTTGTTCACTTTGTTAATCAAAGTTATTCAGGTATTTCGGGCTAGGGCAGGTAATGTTAGGTCCCAGGTCAGGCATGATGTCAATAATGGAACAGACTGGATGAAGTAAATGGCCTACACCTATTCCTATATTCCAACCAGAGTACTTTATACTCTAATAATTTCTGATGTGGGGGTACCAGTGTTGGTCTATAACCTGGTGTCATGTGATTTCTAACCTAATAATTTTCTCAAAGGAACTTTTCTCAAAGGACATGTCAACTGCAGAAATATTACTTTCCTATTCACCTTACAGTAAAACTCAATGTTTTGCAATGATGCAAAACAGGCAATAGCAGATCACTTGCCTATTTCCAGCACTTGTGTTTCTTTTCCATTAACTTAATGTTGAACTTTGATTACAAAACTCTGATAGGAATTCTTTGACCTGCGATATTGGCCTCGATTTTCTTTTGAGTGTCCAAGTGTCTGACAGCAGGTTCTGAACCAACGATGTAATGAGCAGCACACTGCCACAATGGATCAGGAGGTAGCCTCCAATTTGGTCACCTGCAGATTCATTGTCCTATTAAGAATGGTTTGCGTGATGCCGAGAGAGAAGACGCAATCAATGGGCCAATAGAATAAACAGAGAGCAGCTCCGTGAGCACAGATGGACATCAATTCCCTGAATTGAAGCAGAACAGAAATTGCTGGAATAGCTCAGCAGATCTGTTAGCATTTGTGGAGAGAAAGCAGAGTTAACGTTTTGGATCCAGTGACCCTTCTTCAGAAGAGTGAAGTCGTCAAATAAAGAGGTCCAAAGTCAGTCAGGCCATTAAACTGAGTGCGAAGGTCCCTTAGATAGTCGGAACTGCAGATGCTGGAGAATCTGAGATAACAAGGTGTAGAGCTGGATGAACACAGCAGGCCAAGCAGCATCAGAGGAGCAGGAAAGCTGACGTTTCGGGCCTAGACCCTTCTTCAGAAATGGGGGAGGGGAAGGGAGTTCTGAAATAAATAGGGAGAGAGGGGGAGGTGGATAGAAGATAGATAAAGGAGAAGATAGGTGGAGAGGAGACAGACAGGTCAAAGAGGCGGGGGTGGAGCCAGTAAAGGTGAGTGTAGGTGGGGAGGTAGGGAAGAGATAGGTCAGTCCAGGGAGGACGGACAGGTCAAGGGGGCGGGATGAGGTTAGTAGGTAGGAAATGGGGGTGGTCCTTGAGGTGGGAGGAGGGGATAGGTGGGAGGGAAAGACAGGTTAGGGAGGTGGGGACAAGCTGGGCTGGTTTTGGGATGCGGTAGGGGGAGGGGAGATCTTGAAGCTTGTGAAGTCCATATTGATACCATTGGGCTGCAGGTCCCTCACTGGATTATTTTCAATCTGGTTTTAGCCTTTCATTCCTGAAGCCCTGGACATCGAACTTCCAGCTCTAACATCCACCCAGTCTGTCACCAGGAAGCTGCCTCAACAGACCCACCAACATCCATACACAGCAGGGCCGGCTCCCATGCCAAAAACATAACCATTATAAAGTAGTCCAGGCAGTCATTCCAGTTAACAGTTCAGCTCTGCAGAAACTATCTCAGAGTGAAGAATGCATTATATCAACAGGACCAGAAACGTTCAGCCCATTATTACTGTTTCTCTCTCCACTACTTGTTCTGTTTGGCTATTTCTAGCATTTCCTGTTTTTTTTCAGTTTTCCAGCATATTGTTTTTCCCACTGAAATGTACAGATTAGATCTGAGGTTGTCATCAGAACTTGATCTGCATTTGAAAATGGAGACCTGAGTGAAGGGAAATTTAATGTCAGACTCCATCAGGCAAAACCTGTCTGGAATTGGATCCTAGACCAAAAGAAGCTCAGAAGGTAAGCTTTAAATTTATTTTTAGAATTCTTACTTAGACCATAAAGAAGGATCCTCTGGACATTAGTAAGAAGCTTTGGATCTACCTTGTGTTGGATAATCCCCAACTGTGAACACACACGTTCAACATGCCACTACTCACAGCTAGAGCTTTCCCCTCCCTGATTGCAACTGCATCCCTCCAAAATAGCCTATCTCAGTCATTGAGTTATTACATCTTTGCTACAGCAATTTAAAGATAGATCTCGAGGCCACTATAAACAAAAATGCAAGCTTGCCAGTGATGCTTTTGTCCCAGAATTGAACAATAAAGGATTTTTGATAGGTCCTTCACAGACTGAAGTTCAAGGGTTATATATTTTATAAATAAATATATTTTTCCTTGCTCATTTCCTCTGCAAAATGTAGCATACTTCAACAAACACCTGCTTCTCATTTTGTTCTCCTTCTCTCCTCTAGTTAATTTTCCTTAGATAATTTTTCTATCCAGATCCTAAAGAGCGAGATAGTCTGGAATCCATTCATAACTTCTAAAGTTGTATTTGGACAATAAAAGTGGTCGTCAAAATTGATTTCAATATCTCTTTACTTTTCCATTGGAATTGATCTCAGATTAGAACATTTATTTTGCAGCCTCTAGTGTAACAAAATTTAATTTATACAACAGGTCCACTACAGTCAGCAGATCTTACTTATGATGTGTTCCTTTAATCTAATTTTCCAGATGGAAAAAACAGCAATTTGACCCACAAATCAATAGGTATTGTACAATTAGGAGCCTCTTAAAATCTCTTACCAGCAATTAAATTTTTGATTGCGTTTTTATTTTTCCATATACTGTAGGCTCATCGAAGGTTTTGCACTTGGGCACTGCAAATGCTATCTCTGACAAGATCACAGGAACAGCACACAAAACATGAATTATACACTGAAAAACTAAGGTGGGTTACGCCATCTCCATACTATTTTGTTTAAAATAATTTTACGTTCGTTAACAGTCACTGTGGGGTTGTTCCATTACCAGTGAGGATATTTTACTAATTATGTGGCTATTATTGGTAGATTTTGGAAAGTTCTCAAGTACTGCTTTAGGACAGAAGTTTTCTAAGTTATTTTTCTGCTTTTACTCTCTGTATAATTGCCTGTAAACTGTTAAATGTCTAAATTTGCACAATTCCAGCAAAAGTTGAAACATTGGGATGAATTTTAATTTGCAATAGATGTTGGCTTTGGGGCCAATTTGGGGTTAAAAGCAGAGAAATTGACAGTATGTCTGAAAGATGGTTTTCATCTGTTAACTTTCACATTGCAGTGTGTTAGGCTACAAGTAAAAATTCATTTGGGAGTTTCAATAGTTTCTTCCAGCGATATTAACATGGTTTTTGGATTTTAACACTGGGTACAGGCTTACTGGAAACCACCAGAGAAAGCAAAAGGGACAGCACAGCAGCTATCAAGAAGGCTGAAGGCTTGACAGAAAAAGATGCCACTACCAAAGTGTCAGAACTGATTGCTTACATTGTGATCTGTAAGTTTTTGTTCACTGCACAAGGAATGAGCAAAGATGTGTAACTTGTATGAAGCCATACCGAGCATATTGATGGGATATCCTTCCTCAACATATGGGAATACCAGTGTCTCAGGAGAATCAGTGTATCAGATAATGGTGGAAATTTATAGTTTACTGGAACAAAACTAGCTGCCTAATGAGCCTGGCGGCCATGTTTTATCAGTGGGTGTCAAAGTCATCACCGCCCTCCACTTCTTTGCCTCTGAAACCTTCAAGGGCTCATCCAGAAACTTTTACATAATCTCACAGCTGGTGGATGACCCAACTTGTATATGTGGGCCATCAATTCTGTCATCAATCAGCTCCCAAACACAATCCCTTGGCTGGATACATGTCCAGTGCTGCTCGCTCCAAAGAGACAGGTCACCAATTTGTATGCTAAAGGGCCTGGTGTACTGGGGACGTCATTTTGGAGACCACCGACATTTGAGCAATGGCAGAGCACCTCCTAGTGACATGAAGCCAGATTAATGAAGATGGCCTCCTTGCAACAGCCTAAAGGCCATGGGAGCCAAAGGTTCGATGACCCCATGTGGAAGACAAATTCTGGGACAACATCCATTGCGTCCCCAACAATCTCCCTAGTTGAGTTTTCCTTCCAGCCTTCTGTTTCCTGAATTTAAAAATGTTTTTGGACTTAACTGTTGAAGATTTGATGTCTCAGATTTGGCCACAAGCAACAGAAGTCTATACGCCATCTTTAATTGGACACGGGGCCTGTAGGTCCAAAATAAAATGGCTGAGCCTGTCCTGCTGGCCAGTACAACCTTGGGACTCATTTTTTCCCTTAACGTTGGGGTCCCAAAGTCAAGAGAAAATTTGAACATTGGCTTCCTTTGCATCACTTCTGAATCTCATTGGTTTATTTCCTCCGGGGTGTCATCAGCCGTGTGCTAATTGTCTCCAAGCAAATAGCTGTTTACGCTGTTTCCATATGTCAGTAGGTAGACTACAACTGGACAAAAACATCAACAGCTACCAAGGAATTTTGTAACAGCTGCCTCAATAGTTTTTGTGCTTAATTGCCCCAGTTATTGATGTCCTCACCTGTAAAAAGCTAGCTAGAGTGGCAAACACTAGCACTGACTCAATCTGATTGGTATCAGTGGTTATAAAGAAAAGATTGATGTGGTTCAACAATTACAGATAAATTTTACATACTAACAATGTGCATCCATGTGCAATGACAAATCTTTAACCTTCCTCTTCTCACCACTGCCACATGGTACAAATCCTGTGCTTTTGTTGAGTTACATAGAGGCTGCTCACATCCCAGCTCTGACTGCTGAACTGTTCTTCATCAACAGCATCTGGACTTCTGGAATGTTCTACATTTATTACTTATCTCATTTGTGCTTCACATTTCTCATTTGGTATCCAAATTATCACGCCAGACAACTCTTTATTGACTT